GTAGACTCAGGTGTTTGGCGCAGAGCTTCATTTTATTATTTTTTTTGTTGTAATTCTTACACATTTTTAATAATTCCGTTTTTATGAGGGTAGATGTACTTTCTACAATAATTGGGGTATTCATGCTTTTTTCTTTTTTAGGACGAGTTCTATAAATATCTTTTATGTCGGATTTGGTGAGTCTACAGCCTACTTCGTTAGCAAGTCATATCACCATATTTACCAGCGTTTCCTTTGTTTCCTCTTTTTGTCTAGGCACATTTTTAATCTCCAAGCTTGATTTTCGGGAGTCTTTTTGAAGATCTTCAATTTTGTTCTCTAATAGAGTAATATATTTTTTGTCTTCTTTTGCTTGTGATTCTAATGACTGTATTTTCTTCTTAAATTCCTCGTTTTGGGCCGCGAGAAAGGCGATAGATTTCTCAATATTTAAGTTAGTTTCTTGTATAGTTCTCTGAGAAGCGGATATATTTTGAAGTTCTTTTTTTTTGTGAGGAAAATAATTCAGTTATCATCTTTTTCATTTCGGCCTTAAAATCTTCCATATCCACCTTAAAATCATCCTCCTTCCGTCTTTTGTTACGATAGCAAACATTATAATTTGGGGGTGTTACAACATTAGTTTCCGTATTACTAATATCCGTCTCCGAAAGGGACTTGTTTATAGTTACGTCCATTTTAGACTTCGCTATTAGGGGACAATAACCAGTAAAGAGTTGTTATCTCCCACCACAAGAGGTAGGTAGGTAATCTTACGAAGCCAAATAGGTACGTCACCACAGAGAAGTTAACTGCGACGCCTATTTCTAAGCAGGCGGAGTCAATGATCCAATCATGCAAATTTAACATACGGTCGGTGGGGGTGGAGACTCGCCTTGAAGATAGTGGATGCTGCTCGCGCGCTGTGTTTGAGTACCAGGATGTAAGAACTTTATAAGGCAAAAGGTGTACTCACTCGAAGGTATACTCTTGGTTGTTTATGCAGTCCTATTTTTTACGCACTATAAAATTTGATTTAAACATATATTTTACAAACTGAAGAAAAAAGAACTTGTATCACACAACTGCACCTTGCGGCGATCCGTAGGGAAGGGGAATTACAGCGGAGCATCTGAAAGCGGGTGGAAGACCGGTACTTGAAGTCCTTCAGAAGCTCTTTAATTTCGTCCTTCATGGTAGCATTACACCGGAGGCGTAGAGCAGAAGTGCGGTGGTCTTTTTCTTCAAGAAAGATGACAACGCTCTCTTGAAGAACTACAGACCGATTTCCCTTCTGAGCTGCGTCTACGTGCTGTTTTCGAGAGTCATTACGAATCGTCTCGCGCGCAGACTTGATGACTTCCAGCCTCCTGAACAAGCCGGTTTCCGAAAAGGCTTTAGCACCATAGACCAGACATACCTCATTTCTGTGCTTTATGTTAATACATAATAGATATAAAAATTTTAATTAGAAATCTTACTGAATATTATTATTTTTGGTGCCATTATAATAGGTTATGAGCCCAGGTACGCTTCGTAATAAACTGAGTAAAGAGCAGAACTTAAAAGGTGAAAACAAGCACGTGTTCGATAGTGAATAACCTAAAAGAAAACAAAATGGAAGTCACAAATTCAATGAGAATTGAGAAGCTTAACGGCAAGGATTTTCGACAATGAAAATTTCAAATCAATTGTGCCTTAAAAGCGAAAGGTTTAAATATCCATGAAAAAAAACCGACGGTGGGTGATACGACGCAGTGAGACAAAAATGATGGCATGGCCATGTTTCTATTAACTTCGTCTATGGAACTGAACCAAATCTCATTAATTGAAAATTGTGAAACAGCAAAGGAAGTGATGACAAGGTTGAAATCAATTTACGAACAAATATCGGAGCTAAACAAAATGATGGTGCACGAGAAATTCTATCAATATAAGATGTCATCAACCGATACACAGCATATTTCCAAAGTCGAGAACATAGCTAAACAATTAATAGAGACTGGCGAGGAAATAAGTAATACAGCAATTATGACAAAAATATTAAGTACACTACCTTCAAATTATCGCTCTCTGCGTTAGGCATGGCTGTCATTAGATCCACATTCTCAAACAATTCAGAACTTAGCAGCAAGATTATTAGATGAGGAGGCGAGTTTGACAACTGAGGAGGAATCTGAGAGTGCTTTAGTAGCCATGAAACATTCTAAGCCACAAAGAAAATTTCAGAATCACAATATGCAAAAAAGTTCAACGTCTGGTCAAAATAATCAGCATCGATTTATATGTTATAACTGTAACAAAAGAGGGCATTTTTCAAGAGATTGTCGAGCCCCAAAGAAGTCTGAGAGAAAACCTCAAGAGCAAAAGATGCTTGCATTCAGTGCCGAGCAATGTTTACAGTCTGAAGCTGGATTCTTGAAAGTGGTGCATCTGCACACGTGTCATACAGGCGCGATTATTTCTGTGAGTTAATGGATTATGGCAAGAATAGTGGTGGTACAACTGTGAGATTGGGAAATAAGAAGGAACTAGTGGTGCAAGGTTGTGGAAATATATTAATTAATAGATGCGTGAATGGAAAGTGGGAGAAGAGTATTCTAGAAGATGTACTTTACGTACCAGAGCTACGCAGAAATTTTATTCTCAAAAGGCATGGCAACAAGAAAAGGCTATGTTATAATTAAGAAGTACAATGAGGCCTTAATATTGAAAGATAATACTGTTGTTATGACTGCAACATTGAAGCAGAATAATCAATATGAAGTAAATATTAAAACCACAGTGCAATTAGATTGTAATTTAGCACAGTCAAGTTTGAAAATCTGGCATGAACGTTTGGGACATGTCGTGAAGCGACAATTAAGAACAAAAAAAAGAATCTAACCTAACAGCAACAAAACAACAAAAATAGAACAAAAACAAATAATATATTTTAAATTTAAAAGATATTTACAATTTTATATAACAAAATGGAGTATGAAGATGAGGATGGATGTCGTGATTTACAATTATTTAAAAAAAAAAGATAATAAAAAAAAGATTAGTGTTGAAGTTGAGCCCGAAGATCCAAGGTGTACAGTAAATGCTCTCAGCGCCAGGAACGAGCACGCACAGCGTAGGTGAAGGTGTGGGCGTCTCTAGGCGACGACCTCAGGTGAATGCGGAGGTTTGCAAGATCCGGCGACTTCAGGCAAGACAGGGGCTTGCAGGATCCTCAGCGACTTCAGGCAGGACAGAGGCCTGCAGGATCCGGCGACTTCAGGCGGGACAGAAGCTTGCAGAATCCGGCGACTTCAGGCAGGACAGAGGCTTGCAGGATCCAGCGACTTCAGGCAGGACAGAGGCTTGCAGGATCCGGCGACTTCAGGCAGAGCAGAGGCTTGTAGGATCCAGCGGTTTTAGGCAGGACAGAGGCTTGCAGGATCCCGGGGCAGTGCGGCTCCGGGATAAGGCCTTTAGGAGATGCTTCGAATTTGAGAACTGAAGCGAGACGTGACTTTCTTGACCGATTGTTCGGCTTTTATACCTTTTTAGAGAGAACGGAAAAATTATTTAAATTAAACGCAAATTTTTTGTTAATGGCCAAGAGCAAAGAGTATTTATGTGGAATTATCGAAGTAGAAACAACAGACAGGTAGCGAATTTGAATATAATTGTCATGACAACCAGATCAACAACGATGTCAAAACATGTCAAATTTTGGTTTTAGGCTCGTAATAAAAAAACGGCAAGATTTAAGTGAAAAATGAGATATTATTGATATAGGAAAAAAGGTAGCACACCTGCGCGCACAAAGTCCGAAATTGCAGAGTTACGGAAAACTAAATAAAAGATCGAAAAAGGTAGACACCATTGACACCAATTTAAAAGTGCTGATAATGTGAAAATACGAAGTAGAAATGATTTGTTATTGTGTTCTTATGGTTGAAAATCGTTACAGGATCCTATGGAAATAAAGGTGATGTAAAATATCCAGTTTTGAGGTGAATGCAGAAAACCGAAACAGAATGGAAAAATGAATTTAAAATAATGTAAAATGATATGTAAGTAGCATAACACTACAGACATTTAAACTTGAAGGAAGTGAAAAACATGAGCTAGAATGGTGCAATTCCAGTAAAGTTAACAGATGACATCAACTTTGTATGTGAGGCTTGTCAATATGGCAAACGGAGCCGCTTGCCATTTCATAAATCTTGTAGAGGGGAATGTGAACTTGGTGATTTAACCTACAGTGATGTGTGTGGACCTGTAGAACATACATGTGTATCTGGAGCAAGATATTTTGTATTATTTAAAGATGGTGCCACCAGCTACAGACATGTATTTATTATCAAGCACAAAAGTGATGTCCTGGATTGCTTTAAGAAATACAATGCAATAGTGAAAAATAAGTTTGGTTATGGCACTCGTATATTGCATACAGACAATGGACGTGAGTATGTTAAGAATGAACTTAAATCTTATTTGGATAGTGAAGGAATAGTTCATGAACGCACAGCACCCTACACGCCTGAACAAAACGGTAGAGTGGAGAGAGAAATGCGCACAATAATGGACAGTGCAAGATCTATGTTGTACTCTCGTGATATCTCATCTGATCTCTGGGCTGAAGCAGTAAACTGTGCTGTTTATTTATTAAATCGAAGTTCTTCTACACAGACAAAGGATGTATCCTCATATGAGCTGTGGAATGGACAGAAACTAGCCCTTCAACACGTAAGAGTATTTGGTTCAGAAGGATATGTCCATATACCTGATGAAAGAAGAAGAACACTAAATAAAAAGAGTGTAAAACTAATATTAGTAGGATATGAAAATGAAAATTATAGAATGTTTGATATTGAAAGTGGGAAGATAAAAATAATAAGCAGAAATGTACACTTCAATGAGAACAACATACCAGTACTGAGGAAACACACAACTTCAATTTCTATCACCGATGAACATGAGCAAAGTTAAGGCATACAAGATATACCAGTTTCTCCAGGAGACAACCAAAATATTTCTGAATCTAGTTTTGAAAGTGTAGAAACACAGGAAGATCCCAATGATGTGACGTACCAGCCTCCACATATAATTTCTGAAGGTGATAAAAGAAATATTACACTAAGACCTAGAAGGAAATGGAATGAAGAAGCAAATTTTATTGAGTTTGATGTACCTACGACATATGAAGAAGCTATAAACTATAAAAATAGTAATAAATGGAAGGAAGCTATAAGTGAAGAATTACAGTCATTAAAAGAAAATAAAACCTGGAAGTTAGTAAATAGAAATAATGAGAAAACAGTGACCTCAAAGTGGGTATTTTGTGTAAAAAGAAATTCAGATGGTGATATAGAAAGAACAAAGATTTTGATTCTAGAAAATCTAATACAGGATATATTTTTATGATGAATGGTGGGCCTGTTTCTTGGGCTAGCAGGAAGCAAAATACTGTGGCATTATCAACTACAGACTCAGAGTATATGGCTGCAAGTGAGGCTGTCAAAGAAATTTTATGGCTTCGGCAGTTATTAATTTATATTGATGAACCACAATTGGTGATAAGTCTATGTATAGATAATCAGAGTGCTATTAAACTCATTCATAATCCTATTTACCACAAAAGAACAAAGCACATAGACATAAGATATAATTTCATCGGAGAAAATGTAGAACAAAATGTAATAAATGTTCAATATGTGAAAAGTTCACATCAACTTGCAGATTTTTTAACAAAAGCTTTACCTTCTGGTAAATTTATTCTTAACAGAGATCAAGTACTGAATATAAACTGCGGTTTTAGGTATAATATTAAATACTTATTAGGTTTAAAGGTTAATTTTGTTGGTAAACAGTAAGTAGGCTGGTTTGAAGCTTAACTTAAGTATAGTATTGTAATAATTCTAAAATTTAAGTGGGAGTGTTAAGTAATAAATTTTATAATGCATACTGTGTAAAAAATAAGTCATGTTACCTTTGCCTCCCCTAAAAAGAAAAGAATTATTCTACTCCTTGCCGCTTGGTGTGTTTTTTTTGTATCTATGCCTCCCGGAAAATTTTTGTCATGTCATAGTTTTTATTACTCTTCTCAACTTCTCATCTCTGTGCTTTATGTTAATACATAATAGAAATCTTAATCAATAGTATTATTTTTGGTTCCATAATAATAGACCTCAATAGTGTCTCCCAATGAGGTCTTAGGATGAACATGGACAAAACAAAGATCATGTTTAATGTCCATGTCACACCTATGCCGGTAGTTGTTGGGAGCACTAAGCTCGAAGTTGTTGACGAGTATGTTTACCTGGGACAAATAGTCCGACTAGGTAAGTCCAACTTCGACCGAGAACTCAATCGACGGATTCAACTCGGCTGGGCAGCGTTCGGGAAACTACGACACATCTTCTCGTTAGACATACCTCAAAACCTTAAAACGAAATTGTACAACCAGTGCGTGTTGCCAGTGATGACTTACGGATCTGAGACGTGATCCTTCACTGCTGGCCGTATGAGGAAGCTCAAGGTCGCTCAGCGAGCTATGGAGAGGGCTATGCTCGGGGTTTCTCTGAGTGATAAACTTAGAAATGAGTATATCCGCAGTAAGACCAGAGTAACCGACATAGCCCAACGGATTAGTAAGCCGAAGTGGCAGTGGGCTGGCCATATAGCTCGAAGAACCGACTACTATGCCACTATACTACGTGAAAATACCATAAGTTTATCTTCAGGTCGACCAACTTGTAATATTGGTGGGTCCTTTTACTTTTTAATATTTATCCTAAAATATGGAGAATTTCTGTACCAAATCAGGCAATGACAGGGTAGGCGGGGATTTTTCATGTGATGTTTTACTATCCCGGTCGTTCTGACAGAGGCGATATCATGTTCATAGCAGTATTTTTGAATTTGCTATGAACATGATATCGTAATGCAATAGTATTTAAATTCAAAACATAAAACCGAAAACCTAACGTGACAAACGTCCACACGGAGTATAAAATCAAGAGTGTTTTTTTCCCTTATTAAATGACCGCCATGTTACTTTGTGGTCATGCGTTCAAAAAAGTTTGTTTCGTAATTCGTACACAAAGGAGTGAAATAGTTGCCAGTTACAATATGGGTGCCTTCAAGGCAAGATGAATGAACCAAAAGAGATACAAGAAGGAATAAAGAAAAAATTCTTATGTTATTTTTTTTAAACTTGCTTAACCCTCTTCGGCCACTAACCATCATGTTGGATACTAGTCAAGTAATAATAATTGAAGCAATATTTCTTATATTACAATAACAAAGGTGAAGCTAGCTCATCTCAATTCAATAACATGAAGTCATCTTCGATTGCCGGCGACGTTTAATTTTACAGTTTATGGTTGGATCTCTACTCTCTACTACTCACTACTAGGTAATCTTCCACTATAGCTGTTAAACCGTTGTAAAGATTTTTATCATGTCTGTAACCTGTGATTTATTGCTTTAATATCAAAGGCCAGCAATATGATAATATTTTCATACTTTCTTTAAATAGAAGAAAAAATGACAAACGAGCACACAGTCCACACTCCATACACATGGTAAGCGAATGCCGTGGCCCAGAGATTATGTATCTTCTATTAATCAAAATGCAGATGCGTTGTGGTTGTCATTTTATTTTAGTTTTATTTCATAGAATAAAGACGGCAAAAAAGCACAAAAAACTCAGATAAGTGAATGCTGTTGCCCTTTTACATCTACTACTGGAACTAAGATTGAGTGCGTCGTTCCCACAAAAAGGATATCCGGTTCTCTGCACTCACCAAACGAAACACTTTTTACGCTTTTTACGCTGGTATTCTGTAAAAGCGTAGTAGTTCCCCAACTGACCCATTTCTGCTTCATAATAAGGCTGCAACAAGGCTGTATCACGTACGAGCACTTCTTAAGTGGGTAATACTAAAGCTTAAATGCTTGTTTCTTTAAAGAAATTGGTATAAGTTGTATTTTTGATTATTCAGAAACGAGCTATACGATAGAAATGATATTAATAAATTTACACATCCTCATATGACGTCAGTGGTGAGACATGGGTCGGGAACTCGGGAGTGGGACGCGACAGGTCCACGTTGTAACGTCTCGACCCTAATAATAATTAGTCATGCAATGAGTCAACAAAATGAAATATGTTAATTCATTTTATGTACCAAAACATCCAAATTTTCTAGGTGATGCTCATTTTCTGCCCATAGATCACTCTGGATTAAATACTGCGCTCTTGCTTGTGGTTACGGTTTACGGCACGTTGACGGAGAAACCCATTAAAATAGATTATGAATAATACATATGTTAGAACTTTAAAATCTGCCCTTATTTACGGCGAAGAGTAATAGCACAGCCTAAAAAGAACATACAGTCAGTCATCGCATTTGATGTTGTCAGAAAAGCCGACATATACAATAAATTGCTAGGGTTGTCAGAACAGGAAGTAATAAAAAAAAATAAAAAACTAATGTGGAAACTGATGTTTTATACATGGTAGAGCCATGCTTCAGCTATATTTCTGGTATAGTTGTAACAAGAATGGGTCGGCTCGACCGGGGAAGGACCACGCTCTCACAGAACACAGCGTAAAATAGCAGCTTAATGCTGCTGTGTTTCGTATGATGAATGTAGAGAACCGGAGACCCTTTTTACTGGAAATGAGGCATTCCATCTTAGTCCTCACGGGTGACAACGCATCTGCATTTTGATTCGTAATCAAGGATAAATGTAGATGTCTATGGGCCACAGCAACCACTTACCATCAGGTGGACTGTGTGCTCGTTTGTCACCCTTATCCTAAAAAAACAAAGCTTTAATTCCTTGTCTTTAAATTAGGACGACCCACAGTTTTTACCACACAAATAGTGTCAACCATTTTAATTTATTTGCGTGACAGGTCAACAATAGCGGACAGCTCCCGAGGGATTAAACTAACGGCCGCTTGGTAGCGCTCAGCCCACTTCTCGTCCCGCATGATTACCCATCTAAACGTCTTCGATGACCGACTGTTTGTAGTAGCACAGAATAAATAACAGTACAAGAACAGAAGGATCTCTCTCTGTTAGCAAACTTGCGAGTTTAAACCTAGTTACAACGTCGTTAATGTTCATAATACTTTGCACGCCTCAGAAGCAAGCTTCGTGAAATTAGCCTACGTCGAACCAAAAATTAATATGGCGCGTGTATTAAATCAAAATGCACCTTACGTCCGCGTGCGGGTGTCTGTATCACTTAGCCCGTTGCGCGCCTTTGTTAAGGCCGCCCCTTACTGTAGGGTTAGGTGTTGTGAAAAAACAAATTTAATCCTTTGATATTAGTTGGTATATGTAGAATACACCGAGGTGTTATGCAATGTATTGGTATTTTTTTTGTTAAAACAAAGTTACCGCAACACTAGGATTTTCTCTTTACAAACATAAATTGCACAAGGACAAACATCTAGACCCGGAACAATTAATTGTAGGCCATACAAATACTTGTTCCGTCCGGGATTCGAACCCGCGACCCTTAGCGCTTCAACTCATTACTATGCCACTGCGCCAATAAACATGGTACTTCAGTAACTGAGTACCTAATTATCTAGATCTACCTACAAATAATAATATGTTACTTTTTGGTATTCTTGCCACCCGCATGCTCTGCAGTACCTTTTGGCTTTTTGAGAGGCCATACTTGAATAAAAACTCAAAAATAAATATCAAAAGTTGCTAATTTTTTTTTTTATAGGAGGGGCAAACGAGCATGCGGCTCACCCGATGGCAAGTGACTACCGCCGCCCATGAACAACCGCAACACCAGGGGAATTGCAGATGCGTTGCCGGCCTTTTAAAAAGGAGTAGGCTCTTTTCTTGAAGGTCCCTAATACTTATAAGAGAAAAATAGTTTTTGTTAACGTAAGTACGGAGTGAGACAGGACTGGTAGTAGTTAGACTGTGCTAATAGTGTGCTGTGGTAGGCACTGAGAATTTCTTGATAGAAATCCAATTCTGATTTTGGGCCGATCGCACCCATTACCTTAAGGTTAAAGGACTTCTGTAGGTTGTGTGTAGTATTTTTTTTTTTCATTTGTTTGCAAGTAGAAACATAATATATTACCTAATTACAGGTACTTAATTTTATGTAGGCATTAGTTTGTAGTTTTCATTTCAAATATGTTTTAAGTTGGCAAGAAGGCGTCTCATACCATGGTACCAATAATTGCTGATGGAGCTTGCTTATTTAGGGCAATCTCTTATCTGTTGTATGGGAACAATTGTTGGCTGGAGAAATTCGGAAGCAAAATCTGGATTACGTTATTGTGGTCATTTTTTTGTTTACTTACAATATGAAACAAAAGCGTATAGTTCGTCCAATTAGTTTTTTGGTTCGTTTGTGGGTCCGTCCGTTGTTTCGTTTGTATGTACGTCTAATTGTTCGTCCATTAGTTTGTAAGATTGACTGACTGACTAAATGTCATACTCGTATCATGTCCAGATAAGTGTCTTTCTACGTCTTTGCAACAGTTAAAGGTACAAATAAATCATCATAACGTATCATAACTTTATTTAATGCGAAATACGTTGCGGGCACAGATAGTTAATAATAAAATTTACTTCTTGTATTTTTGTTCGTTCTTTCGTGAGATTTCCCCAAAAATTTGATAACTAACTCTAAAAAATAAAGTTTAGAGGATATTTTCTGAAAACGCTCGCAAACCAAACTCGCAATTATATTTAGTCTGGTGTCCATCACCAACTCTAACTTATTTGTATATGCCATACACGAACATTTGCATATTGGGCAAGACGTTTCGCATAGCGTTGATTGATAATGTGCTGGAAACACCTCGCGGATCTAAACGTGCACCAAACGACGCGGAGTCATTCGCAATAGATATCGCGAGCCGAGTTTATTCCGCATGCCCCTTGCAATAAACACTCGTCAATCGACCAATCTGTAAATAAAACAAGTCTGCCATTGGTCGAGACGCCATGACAGTTTCGTAAACCACAGACGTATCATCAACTGAGTTTATGGACTTACCTCACACTTAGACCGAGTTTCGAAATTAAATAAAAAATTTAAATATTTTATCTTAGTTTACGAAGTATACTCTAAAATAAAACGGTAAAAGATGTAATGGAAAATGGATTAAATAAATTTTTCAATAAAATAAAAAGTGTTTTATTAGGTTTGATTCGTCTTGAGTTCTCTCATATAAGCAACTAATTATGATTTTCTTGGGTTTGTTCATATATTCACTAACTAAACTATTTGATTTTTAATCGAATTAAAAAATATTTGAGATAATAAAATACAGAAAAAATTTACGTCACTTCCAACTACATTTAAATTTCTTTTCAAGGCTTTTTATTTGAATCACACAAAACAACATACGTTTTTCTCTATAAATGCATGTAATAAAAACGAGAAAAATTAGGAAGAAGCAATAAATTAATATTTAAAATGTTTATTATTAATAAATAATTTATTATTTTTTTTTTGTATTTTTTAAGAAATAGATATATTTTTTTTTATTTCATTACTCAGGTGAAAAAAGTTTTGGGTGCCACTTAAAATTAAGTAAGTATAGTAAAAAAAACGATTGCCCTTACGATTCTTAGTATTTAGTAAAAATTTTAATGTTTTACCAAAGAGCACTTGATGAACTTCACGAAAAATATGATGTTTTATGGTTTTGAAGAAAAAAATATGAAAATCATCATAATACCATTTGTAGTCGAACTTTAACCTTGAATAACTTTGAAACGAGTCGACTTAGCAAAAAATTATGCAAGACCTTTATTGAAGATTGTTCAATTTCCTACAAGAATATGTATTGGTTTCTACAACACGCTAATTTGTTATAAAATTAAAAAAAAATTCCCTGCTATTTAAAAGGGATATCAAAAATCGCGATGAGGCACCGCTCAATATTAATATTTGATAAGAGCTGAAATTTTACCACATTTTTTTTATCATCTTGAACAATATCTTCATGGTAACTAAAGAAAAAAAAAATTTCGTTCGCCCATATATAATAGGTTGGTGAATATGTATGTGTAGTACCTGTTTTGGATACTAGCAACACGCCCGGCTTCACACGGGTGATTTCTGCATCTCGACAACAGCACCACCTACCGGGTCCAATTGTGAACGTAAACCATCCAACCATTGAAACACACAAAATATCATAGGAATCGGTTGAGCCAGTTTCAAGTTTTAGCGAGACTAACGGACAGCCATTGATGTTTATATTTACAGAGATTATTGTTGTCTATCTCTACGACAAACGTTATTCTTCTTCATCTAGTGATAAACTGTTATGGTTTCACTGCTGAAGATTTTACGCGAAAGCTGTAAAATACCTGCAGCTATATTATAGTTGCGGCATGAATAGGTTGACTCGATCAGAAAACGACCACGCTCACACAGAATACTAGTGTAAAATGGCAGTTCAGTGCTGCTGTGCTTCATGTTTCGTATGATGAGTGTAGAGAACCGGTGACCCTTTTTGCTGTTAGGCGTACATCTTAGTTCTCAGGGGTGACAACGTATGTATGAGTATATTTCCATTCTTAATCGAAGATAGACATAGGTGTAAATGGGCTTTCCCTTAGTCGTCCCTTAAGACACCCACGGTACAGAATGAAGTGAAAACTAACTGGCACTGCATGATGACGTAATCTATGACAGGGAAGCGTCGGTGACTCTAGGCCATTTCAGCTCACCAATCCTCGGGGGGGGGGGCAAGGATTGGTAATAGCAATAGCTCGTAGAACTATTTGATAGTACATTTTACTACGTGTGTGCATGCTCCATGCTACAACTACGAGTATATTGTGCTTGTAGCGTGAATGGGCCGACTCAAACCGAGGGAGGACCACTCTCTCAGAGAATACTAACGTAAAATAGCAACTTAATACTGATATGTTTTGTATGGTAAGTGTAGAGAACCGGAGACCCTTTTTTACTAATCACAAAGCAAGGGTCTCTAAGTGAGCAGAAATGGTACTGGCATCATAGCGCACAGAATGACAAAACTATAAAACTCTTTAATAATTTTATAGCGGTGGTTCTCGTAATACATGCATAAAAGAAGATTAATTTTGGCGTTGCGATAAAATTGTGAAAGGTAAACATCACACTGGTGTAATCCGCACCGGTCAAACGCCGGGGCGGTTAGCTAGTTATTATTAAAAAAAAAATGATATGTCGGAAGAAAAACAAGCATAAGACAAATAAACTTAAAACAAGATCACTTCGTCGGCTTGTAAATGTCTTCACCTGGACATTGGCCCTAACTGTTTTACAGAGGATCGACGTTAGCAGATCAGACGTCTCAAACCTTTATGACGCTGCTTCTCATCGCCGGTCTGTTTATTATACACCAGACATATACGAGACGATTATACCACTGTAGCGGCGTTGTCTCCGCGCCATAAGCAAGATGCATCGAAGCTTAAATCACGCTATCAAAGTACCGAAGTACTGTGGTACCACGGCCAAACCGCCATTTATCAGAAACCATTTTTTAGCGTTTTCCAATGTCACCTCCTACGATACTCACGGGACGAAATGGGGTGAACAAAAAGATAACAAATAAACGGCGAAAACACGATATATTAGATGGTAAAGCTTTTTTCTGCCTTGGAATCCATTAGGGTATGTAGTAACCTTTTTACCTATTTCTGCCATAAAGCAATGTTGCACCCGCTGTTGTTTTACAATTTCAAGAGTAAGAAATTCAGTAATTACACACCGCGCATCTTCCTTCTATATAGAACTATGTAGTCTCAAATGCCAAAGGGGAAGTCATACAAATTTAAGTGAACTAAGTCCTGCTTCGTAGCTGTTGCTACAATTCGCCAGTTAAAACAGACAAAGTTCTTCGACCATACAGCCTAGTCTGATTTGTATTTTGTTCATAAAACTCTTCACAATATGGTGAGGCGTTATTGGGAGGTCTTTGGGAGCTTATGACGACAACATAACCCAGTGGACAGTTGATGACAATAATATTTCAAGGTCCATAAGGGGATAAAAAACCTAAAATTTACATAATTATCTCTAATAGTTCTAAGGTTCACTTTTACATATCAAAATCTACTTCAAACCATTATTTTAAATGATACAAGAAAAGCAAGTTGTTGGTGGTCAAGTTCCCGCCAAAAGTCCTGTATCGTAGCTCTGATATTATAAAAATAAAAAGTTAAAAACACAGAATATTTTTTTGCATTTAGATGTTTACAGCACGTCATATAAAAGTAGTTTGATTAGCAATTTATGTAAATAAAATTGATTTTGATTGAAAAATTTTTGACAGCTTTAATAATAATAATAATAATAATAATCTTTATTTCGGACCAAAATTAATCCATAGTAGTGTTAGTAACAATTGACTTATAAACTATTGTTAGTAAACATTAACGTATGGACAAACTTTTTCAAAATCGGAGAATTATAGTTCTCCGCTACTGTTTTCAAAATGCTGTTGTGACTATCTCTCACCCTTCTAAGCAGCGAAGCTGTTTTCTTACGTATTATCGCATGAAAACCGTCCGTACGAGCTTGCGCAAACATCTCCGACGCACTACAGTATCGAGGCAGTCCCAACAACATTCTGAAAGCATTATTATATTGAACACGCAGGGCATCCAGCGACCTTTTAGTGTAATTGATCCATAGATTGCTCGTATACAGACTCTGGCAGTATGCCTTTAATAGGGTAATTTTAACTAAGTCCGTACATCGAGCAAATCTAATAAAATTCATGGATGCTCAATAAGAATATTTTAAGCAAAGAGTTCACTGATGGACTAAAGGCCAAAGTGAATAAAGCTTATATTGTAGATAACATTATAATTCTTTGATCTATAAAAATGCAATCTTAAGATACTATATGTATAGATTATAACTATCAGCCTCCAAAAATTAAATTATAATGACATTGAGAAGCTACTTACCCAAACTAAAAGCGAAGATTTGTAGCAAAAATATTATTTACGTGGTAAAGTCACGCTGCATTTATTACAGTTGCAGCACGAATTAGGTGGGCACCATGCTATCACAGAATAATAGCGTGAAATAGCAGCTACACTACTACTGTGTTTCGTAGGGTAAGTTGTAAGAACCGCAGACTCTTTTTCCTGGTAACGAGGCATTTCAGTGCGGAGTCAGGAAATTCACGGTATATCCAACCTGTGTCTCAGAAAGAACATAAAGCCGTTGGTCCTGCGCCTAATCTCTCTCCGGTCTTGTCAGATAGCCGTCTCATCGAACTATGAAAATAAGCTATAGAGAGTGCACCTCTGCTTGCGCATACACACGGTCACTATAATCCTGTCCTGCGCAGATGTCTATAGTCTCCCTTGAGACTGGCCGCCGTGAACGAGAATTAGATCTGGAGGACACCATTATTACATATTGATTCTCAGTCGAGGATAAATACACGTGTCTAGGGTCACAACATTCACTTACAATCAGGAAAACGGTGGCTCGTTTGTCAGTTTGTCATCCTTTGTTACGACCACACTGGAACCGGTCTGCATAGACGACGACGCCCCCCTACCCTATCACATTGCCGAAAACTACTGTACATTACTAACATCATATTAAATTTGTACATTTATATTTATTCTATATATAGTCAAAAATCTATGTGTTACCCAAGTTCTAAACACTAATTAATATAAATGAAGGACGGGAAGAACGGAGCCTTCTAACTCAAGTTTCCTAACTCAAATAATGTGATTAATTTTAAGTATTACTGGTCCGAAAATAAAGATTTTTTGATTTTGATTTGATTCTATCCTTCTATCGGTTGACATATGGTTTTAATAATTATATTAGTTCACCTAACGCAAGAACAGCCCTACGGCTCCGTGGCGCAGTGGCTTAGCCATTGAGTTGCAGGGCTAAGGGCCGCGGGTTCGAATCCCGCACGGAAGAAGTATTTGTATGGCCTACAAATAATTGTTCCGGGTCTGGATGTTTGTCCTTGTGCAATTTATGTTTGTAAACTGCCCCCGCTATACAGGAGAAAATCCTAGTGTGGAGATTACGTATTTAAAAAAAGAATAGAATTGAAGAATAGAATTGTATAAAAATAGTAAGTAGGTATTCATAGCGTAATAACGTTAAATGGATGTTTATAAAACGGATCGGAACGCAAGGTTTCGTTACAGTTAGCTAGCTACGAGTTAACACGACACCGTTGTTTGATAAACAGAGGACTGACGACGCCGGTGCCGCCCGGGCGAACGTGCGCCGCTGTTTTCTTAATCCATTCACAACCAACGTGGAACTTGGCCTCAATCCTATTATTTTTTGGTGGTTTAATACCTGACTTCTTAGTATTTGTGTGAAAATTATAGATTTTAGGAAATATTTGGTGTAAGCCATGCAGAGTAGTACTGGTGCATCATAAATGGGTCGGCACTAGTTCCAGTGTTTCATATAATAGTGACGATGACAAACGAGCACATAGTGTAAGTGGATGCTGTGGCCCATAGACATCTACATTTATTCTCAGTTCTACTGAGGATAAATGTAGATATCTATGGGCCACATCTATCATCGAAATTCGTTAACTTGAAATGAATTTACTTCCACGATGTTCCTATATAAATTTCTACTAGATCAGATGATAATTTAAATTACTTTATGTATCAATATAAACACCATACAAATACAATAATGAAATTCGATCACTGCATTTCTTTATAAAACTAAAGTCACTAACGATGTACCGTCTACCTGATAGTAAATGGCTACCTCAGCCGAGGACCTTCAAGAAAAGAGCCTACTCCTTTTTAAAAGGCCGGCAACGCATCTGCCATTCCCCTGGTGTTGCAGTTGTTCATGGGCGGCGGTAGTCACTTACTATGAGGTGAGCCGCATGCTCTTTTGCCCCCTCTCCTATAAAAAAATGGATATCTGCTAATTACAAATTACCAATTACAAGGAAAGGACATATGCGTTGTCATCTCTGAAGATTAAGATGGAATATCTTATGAACAATGAGACACTGCCTGCTATTTTACCATATCCTCCAAACTGGTACACCTCAGTGCTAGCACTGCTATGTGGCGACAGTCATAGGTAAGAGGTGATAACTATCCAGACGGATTCCTAGGCAGAGAAAGAGTAGTACCACCATCGATATATATGTACTACGCACTAGATTTCGCATTCCGAACATTGACTATGTTCAACTGAACTGTACTGCAATCCATACACTAAACTAAATATTGCGTAAATTGAAGATTTGTGAATTCCATAAGATAATTATTATTAAATTTTATTCATAAATAAGTTTGTTAAGGTTAAAATAAGAGTATTAGCTATCTGCCAGTGAAAATCTCGTCAAAATCGGTCCAGCTGTTTTGAATATTAGCCGGAACAAACAGACAGACAGACGGACAGACAGACAGACAGACAGACAAAAACTTTGAAAATTGTATTTTTGTTATTAGTGCCGTGTATACATTTCATGTGCATTTAGTAAAAAGCTGTAATTTTGACATAACAAACAGACACTTCAATTTTATTTATTTATAATAATATATAGATTAAAGTCTTCGCGCATGCGCGACTCTACTATCTCCCGCGCATGCACGAAGACATAGAGTAGTGCACAATTTTTGTTTGGAATAGCTTCTCTAGTACGTAGTACATATAACTCAATGAGTACCACGTATTTTTTTGTTGTAAAAAAAGTTGAGTAAATAGGCTTTCGTTAAGTCAGTGCACTTCACCACCTTCGGCTGCATCATCACAAACCATCAGTAGTAGTTAAGTGCTGACTTATAATAGTTCAAAAACATCATATTATTATTGTATAACATCTATTAATCCAAGGGCGATGCTTGAAGCTATTTGAGGCATCTCCTTCTTCAACATCAGCCTTCAAACTTCCACTGCTGGAAAAGAGCCTCGCCTGTTGTGAGGTTTTGCTTTTCGTCACGCTTTTCAGACGGATTCAAAATCGCAGTACCAGCGTCTGACACCTTTGTTGTTTTCTTTCATTCACATATAATTTCTTCATTGTCAGATATTTAGCGCCAGGATTCTACGTGGTAGAGCCATGCTGCAGCTATATTATGATTTTAGCTGCTGTGTTTCGTATGGTAAGTGTAGAGTACCGGAGACCCTTTTTACTGGAAACGAGGCATTCCATCTTAGTCCTCACGGGTGACAACGCATCTGCATTTTGATTCGTAATCGAAGATAGATGTAGATGTCTATGGGCCACAGCAACCACTTACCATCAGGTGGACTGTGTGCTCGTTTGTCACCCTTATCCTATAAAAAAATGAAATGTTAAACTTGGTAAAAATTACCTCGCGTGTATAATTTTTACCAACTCTAATATAATGGATTTCCGCAAAGTAACGCCTGATTCTATTAATTATAGTGAATGAAATGGTTATTCCACCATCTAGTTGGATCCATGAAATATTTCTGGGGTGTTATATAATTTTTTTTTATTTTTTTTTTCTTATAATTATACAATGAACGTTTATAACATTTTCATCTGCCAAACTGCGTTACAGTTTGTCGGCAGTAGTTCTCGTCTTACATGCTTATGTTTATAAAATCTGAAGTATAATTTCTTATACATATACTAACATCTCCCAACATCTATTTTATTATTTTATTTATACTGTCTCTTATAATCGTCCCTTATGATACCCACAGGAATAAAGGGGGTAATGGATTATCTTAAGAAGCCATGATATGCCAAATTGTGGCGATGAGTTCTCTTAGGAAGCCATCTCATAACTGCTATTTGAGGTTGTTACCCTATTTCGTCCCGTAGGTAAGAAATATAAGAGAGATATTATAGGCTCCATTTGCAGTCTTCAGTGTTTCACCGCTGCAGCACGCAATTATAATATTTTAAGTATAAAAAACAGTTCTAAGTTCTTATCTCTTATTTTCTAATTTATCAATCAATCTAACGAAGATAAATTGATAGATATGTCATTTATTCACAGAGTACACATTACACAGAGTACACAATACACAAATATAAGAGTA